GACATGATTCCTCCCGCCCTTTTAAGACAAATTTTCTCCCCCTAACTATCACCAGGCAGTGTGGGATATCACCAAGATAACTTTCGGGGGATCGGGCAAAAAAAAACAACTAAAAACATCACCCCTTTGCCTCTTCCCCCCGGCGAGGGAGTCGCCAATTATCCTCTGGTCAAACCTTGTCGGCGTTACCCCAGCACCGGGCCCACTGGGAGACAGGGTTGAGACTTCAGGCCGGAGCCACGCGGGAGGGAGTCCCAATGTTCCTCTGTCCCGCCTGTCCCCAGCTGTGCTAGTTAGTTGTCCATCATTTGATTTCCCCTAGATAATTTCCACCAATCTTCTAATCGTATCTTTTTCACTGTAACCCTTTTCTCTTCCGTCCTTCCATCGTCACCAGTAAAACCCAGGGCCCCGGCCAAATCTGTTACCCCTTCAGGGAGGGCAGGGCGAAGCCCCGTGCACTTCAAAACCGTGTGCTCTAGTGTCTCGCTATCATTATGGCAGGCGGCACCTAATGTGTCTGCCTCCTAAAATTTAGCCCTATACGTCCTCGTCCTTAAAACTCCCGTTCTTGCCTCGGTCAGCAAAGCACTTCCCCGTGAATCGTCAAACAGTTTTTCCTTTCGTATGTCCTGCTTTCGTGACCTGTACACTGTTAAAGCTGATTTCTCCTGCATTCTCTCCTCCCACATTTTCCTCTCAGCCTCTCTCATCCTGTTTTTCACTGAAGTAGTCTGTTCAGCCCCATCACCAGTGTGTAGGTATTTAAATGTAAGCTTTCGGGTTCGGTTTGCCCATTTCGTGTTTAAACTTTAATGTATAAATACTTGAATACCTTCCGTGCCTACCGCGTATCATACATTTCAGTCAACTTTTCTTTATATTTCAACTTACTAATTGCCTCCCTGCTCTCAAAAGACGACCATCCCATGTCCCCCTGTACTCCATCTTTTGGTGTTTTTCCATGTGCTCCCAGCTCCAATTTGCCTACGCTTCTTTGTCGAATTTCTAATCCTGGTTGAACCTCTGATTTCATGCACTGTACTGCATTGTCAAAAAACAGTCCTGGCACCATCACTCCTTTCCATATACCTCTGACCACTTCATATCCGTTATAGTTCCATAGTGCCTTGAGCTTCATAATAGATTTATTTCTTTTCTCTTTTCTCATTACACTCTCCTCGTGTCCCTCTAGATACTTCCTTCCCTCATTAAGCCAGACTCCCAGATATTTGTATTTTTACATGGTCTATTACAATGTCTTGAATCATCAGGGGTTCCCTCTTTTCATCGCTAAACACCATTACTCCAGACTTTTCACTACTAAAACTCATGCACAAGGTGTCCCCTTCCTCGCCACATGTTCCAGTTAGTTCCTGTAATGTATTCTGGTTATCTGTCATGAGTACTATGTCATCTGCATACATCAGTCCTGGCATTACCTGCACTACATTTCTCCCTCCTTCCATATAACTCACATCAAAACGTAAGTTGCAGTGCTCTAATTTATTTTCCATTTTACTGAGATATATTATGAACAGCAGAGGTAACAGCGTTGTTTATCACTAACTTATTGTTTGTGTACACCTGCCGGAGAAACCTAACTAAATTTGTATTTAACATATACTCCTTCAGCCGACCCCAGTGTTTTTTCTGGTTCACATTATCGTACGCTCCCTTGATGTTCAAATAAGCGAACCATAAAGGAGTTTGGTTCTTCGTTGCTATCTCTATACATTGAGTGGTGACGAATAAGTTATCTTCCAGCCTTCTATCTCTTCGAGATCCATTTTGGAGCCCGTGCAGTATTTGCATATCTTCTGTCCATTGCTATTCGACGCTTTACTATCGGCATAGCTAATCTGTATAAAACTGAAGTTACCGTTATCGGGCGATATGATTTAATGCTGTCTTTGTTTCCATTGCCTTTATATATAGTCTCATTTTACTTAGTTTCCAATCACTGGGTACCTCTCCTCCCATCATTACTTTGTTAATCACATGCCGTAACTTCAATTTGCTTGTTTTTCTCTAGTGTCTTCATGAGTTCCATGGGTATGTTGTCCAGGCCTGTTGCTGTACCTGCTAGAACCTTATTTTCTGCTTTGTCCCATTCTTTTGTAGTCGTCTCCATCGTTACACAATTCTGTTCCTCCTCAACAGTGCTGCTGACCGTGCTGTTCACTGTCTCCCTCTGCTCAAGCTGGGAGAAAGCCTCTTCGATTGTCCGCCTAATATATTCACGTGTCTCTTCCCTCTCTACTCTTCTCCCCTCCTGTGTGGTCAGTGAGTGTTGGATACCCTCTGTCTTTCTCTCCTGCGTTTTAATGTGCTCCCAAAACCTTTTCGCCGCATTCCTATTTATTTATTTACTTCCATCATCCACTGCCCACATGCACTTCCAATTTTGGCCTGTATTAAAGCTGATGCTTCCCTTTTCCGCTCTTGGAAGTTCTCCCATTTTGAAGCTATTTCAGCTGGCAAGGCTCCCCTTCTTTTGCCCACCTATGCTCCCTAGATGCATATTGGCGCCGCATTATGGCTGCTTTGACCTCCTTATCCCGCCAGATTTTTGGCTTGTGTCTTCGTTTTTGCTTTCCTCTTTGTTTAATTTTATGCTTCTCTACATTTTTTTTCTTTTTAAGGTTTCTATTATATCCTCATACGCCCACTCTCGTTCTGGTTGTTCCGATACTTTGTTCTCGATGCTTGTTGATACTTTTTGTATTTGAGCTTCACTTAGTTTAGGTTTACCCGTTCGTTCCTGGGCGTGTTGTTCTGGTTTGGATGCGCAAAATTTAATCTTAATTCGTTTGTGGTCACTCTCTTAGCTTTTTGTTCCGTCCTCATCAATTTCCATACTTCCTAACCTGTAACACAGTTTATGGGACATGAGGCAGTAGTATATTGTTGAGTGTGAGTTCTTTCGTCCCACGTCCCATGTTGCCGTCGCATTTTACTTGTGCATTAACTAACACTAGGTCCAGGGCCTCTAAGAAATCTTTTAGCAGCTTTCCAGTTGTATCTGTGAATCCGTCAAACTCTTCTAAGTGGGCGTTCATGTCTCCTATCATAATTATTTCCTGATTAGGACCAATTTCTCTGATATCCCTCGAGTGTTTAGACCTGTTACCCTACCTTCCAGCCATAAATTTTCTCTGCAGCTTTCCTTCTCTCTTTCCCAGTCTTGTCCTTTAACTAACATGCCTAGACCTCCGCCTTTGCGTTCACCTCCCCTCCGGTTGCATCCCATCCAGGAGTAGCCTGGTGCGTACGGTGGTTCCTCCTCATCTATAACGTGCGTTTCTGCAACCCCATTCACTGTAAAACTTTCACCCTCTAATTGTTCACTGACCTCCACCCACTTTAATTTGTTTCTACCTCCCCGCATGTTTATGACCCTGTCATGAGCTGATTTTTACTCTTACTTCTAAGGGGGTTCGTCCTGCTCTCCCTGCGGCTCTTGCGGTACTCGCACCCAGGAGCTTCCCCCGACTCTCGTACTGGTACATATGGTGCTGGTACATCTACACCGGTGCCGTCCGGGCTTTGTGGGTCCCCAAAGAAGCTGCAACATGCCGAAGCAGCCTCTCTCCTACTCTTTTACCTGTGTTGCCGGGTGGCAGCAACATGTTGCCCGACTGCTGTTGTTACCGCGGTGTGACAGGGTTGCCGGCAACACGATTTTCTCGTGTTTTCGGATAGAGTTGTCAAACTGTTGCCTCAGTGTGACAGGGCTTTTAGCTGCGATTCGGGAAGCCTATCAAATAGCTTGTGCACAAACGTTAAAACGGACAGCCCTTACAGTTCTTACAGATAAGTGTTTTGCGGTCAAGAGTGACTCCGCTGGGCGAAAACATGTAGTGAAGCTCAGTGAGACAAGACTTATTTATTATTTTATTACAGTTATCCAGAGTTACCGCGGAGTCGCTGGCGGTTTCGGTGAGTTGGGTTTAGCAAAGGACTAGCTGGAAGGCTTTTGCTACGCGGAGTTCGCTCACTCCCGGAAGGCCGCTGTCAAGATGGAACATTTTCGACATCCATCAACTTCTGGGCTTCCCCGTGGACGGTTTTACTGAAGGAAAGTTCTTTTTGTTTACTCCACAACGAGAGTAAGCTTGCCAGCTCAGCCGTGGGTGCTCCAGCACGTTTGATTTTTTTTTAAATCGACGTTCGAACGCTGGACAAATATCGGTTCGATCTCCAAGCACCCGATATAATGATCTCAACATATCATAAAATACTCTCTTCGAGCACGGCGCCCAAGCTTCAGTATGCCTACTTTCGTAGGTTTCTCCCGCAGACTTGCATGTGTTGCCTGGTGTCAAGTAATGGCCGCCGGTGGTACCGCCGACGGGCTCCCGATCCGCGATACTACAACAGAGGTCAGTGAGCGGCTCGCGACGGACCAACGTTGCGACGGACGTGGGGCTGCTACGTCGGAACTGCCCTTCGTGGTACCGGCCACTCAATCTTCCAGCGCAGAATATCGAGCGGGAGGGATACAAGTTCAAAACAATCGCACGACAAATGGTGCACACAACTTCGTCGTATGCTTCACACCCTGGAGAATAAAAAATTAAAAAAAACGCGGTTGGGTGTAGTACGTGATTTCCGGCCATGAGCTTCTGTGTTCGTGTTTCGGTTTCGATTCCGGACAATTGAGTTTCTTTTTTTTTTTTTTTTTAGATTTGGGTGGTGTTAGTGTTTTTTTAAGCTGTCAGTAAGTATAGACCATTCCGCTGAGGATTCTCTGGGCGGCGCCATTTTGTTCGCCCGCAGCGCCATCCACGTACATCCGGGCATTTCAACGGAGTCGTCGGGGTGGGGAAGGAAAGAGCACGGGCCGTTATCGTTGGTTATCATCGTTCGGGCATTTTTGGTCGGCTCTACCCAAACATGGAAGCCCAAACATGGAAGCCATTTCGCTCCCTCTTTTCACCCGGGTAAATGGTGTATCGTTACTGGAAAAATAGTCCCATTTTTCGTTTTGTTTTCAGATGAGCGGTAAGGAGCTGGAGAAGAACCTGTACCACGACAGGCGTCACATGTCAGCACTTTCGATAGAAGAGGTGGACGGAGGTTGGGAGGTGGTAAGGTCACTGGGGCGGCTATTTCGACCAATTATTCAAACATTGATCAAGGTGTTGACTAAGAATCTTTCTAATGGAGCACTGCCGAGAAATAAATATCATAACTTAGTCGGCCAAAACATTTTTACGTCCGATATCTTCATAAATACCCAAAAAACTACATACGCGATCTTTTGTTGGCATTTTGAGGAACACGCTTCACTTCGTTAACTTAAAAAAAAAAGGTTGTAATCTAGTTGTTTTTGCTTAACAACTTTGCAAGAATAGATTTTAAAACAGGATTGTGTTTTTTTGTGTGTTTTTTTTTTTTTTTTTTCACTGTGGTGCTTATTATTATTTTTTTTCGTCGGGTAGGCTAGACAATGTATGCTTTAAATTTTCAGAGGGGAGTCTTGAGCGACAAGTTGAGGATTGAACCAATGCCATTGAAGGCGCGTTCTGAAGACGGAAGCATTGCCCACAAGGTTTCTAAGATTCAGAAAGAGGGAAATTACGAGAATGATTACATAGGTAATATCACCACTTCATCAGTTATCACGCGAATCATTTCAATAGTAACGCTGCTTAAACTTTGTCTGTCATTGAAGCGTTTTTTTGTTTTGTTTTAACCTGGCATTTCTCAGTGATTTTGGCGTATGGTGATTTTTCACCACCGAGCGAGAGGCGATGATTTTTAGTTGGCTAACGGGCGTCGTTTTTTAACCGACCGCTGCAATGTACACTTTACGCTGCAAGCGCTACATCGATGTTTTGATCACATTTCTAGCGAGAATATATGTTGCGCGTATTAGTAACTACAAAGTTTTTAAGCTCTCCGAGCGTATGTATACATATCAATTGTTGCCGCCATATTATGTCGAATGCAAAAATCTCCGTTAAAGAAAACGTTTCATCCTGGGGGAGAAATTAGACTCTGCAGATTATTCATGAAGCTAAGACACAGGACATCGATAAATTAGCATTATTTACTTCCATCACTTTTTTTCAAGCCTTTGAGGTGCCTGAGCTCCAGAATTGAGCTGACCAATATTCCTAAATATGGAGTTTCTTCGTTTTTTATCTGATATTTATTTTGTATTTGCTGAGAGTAGATAGCGCTAATAGCCGACGCGGTAGGTTAGCCTCTTCGTTGCGTTTGTGCAGCTGCACACATTTTTATATTACATTAACGCTTTCAAATTATATTTGTGCGCAATAAATACCCTCGTTGAAATAGCAGTGTCGCGGGACTACTTTGCACCAATCAACTCAACGTAATTTTATAATATATTGTACAATACGGTACATAACATGCTATAATAAAGTACTACGAAATATATAAAACACCATATATTTCCTGCATTCAAAACGATAAAATGCGGCACAATTCCTTCCAGTTGCACCCGATTTCGTGGCCTCTGAAAGATCTGATGATTCAGAGCAAGGTGAGTAAAATACTCGTTGGAATCCTGGCGAACGATGGGACTGTGGACCACTGCACACAAAAGAACTGTAGCCTACAGCTGTATCATATTATCCGCCCCGCCATTCGCCAAATACCCTCATAGATTGCAGCGATTGTCTATACCAACTTCGAGTGCTCTGCGGGAGAGCACAAGCTTCAGGTTTGTTAGAGTATTTGGTGGGGTGGTATTTATTTATTTATTCGTTTCGTGTAATTACCCCGCGGCTCTCGAATGAATTATTTCAGGAAAAGGGGGGGAGGGGGGTACATAGTCAGTCGTGAAGGTAGAAATACACTCGTGCATGTGTACCAAGAAAGCAACAACAAGGAAACGCAAGCACACAAGAAAACACACTCATCAACAAAAGCGAGCCCGGAATAAGATAAAGAGACATTGGTAGCTCTCGTTCCGGGTACCTGCCAGATAATAACATCAACTGAGAAAGATATGCGCTAAAAGCAGTAACAATAACTCTCGCTTTCCGGGCGACACATGAGTAAAAACACAGATGTAATTTTATCAAATACGTTCAAAGGGTAATAAAATAATGAAAGTAGGAACAGCTAAACACACAGCAGTATCATGCCCAGTAATCACTCGAACTCTGATCGCAAGGATAAAAGCATTTTCCTAGTCATGTCAGTCTGCCAGCTGTCAGGTGACAGTCTGTCAAGGAAAGGTGAGTTTGACAAGATAGAAAAGGTGTCATTTGGTAGGTGATTCCACGCTTTAAGAGTGTTTGGAAAAAACTAATATTTCAGAACGTTTGTTCGGGGTGTCGATTCCCTCATTTCTCCTGAGTAGTTTAATCTCCTAGATACAAAGGTGGGTGGTTGAATCAACTTTGCTTTATTAGTCCCGGTTTGACCATATTAAATTTAAAAATTCAAGCAAAGACGTGTTCTTCTGGAGGAAAGTGGCCCCCACTCTAATTGCTTTTTAAGAGCGGTAACACTTCCTCTATAAATGTAATTTCTTGTGACAAATTTCGCAACCCTGCCCTGCACTTGCTCGATTTCTTTTCGTTCTTTTTTTTTTTCTAAATAGCTCTCTTTTGGGTCTTACAAAACACGGGCGTACTCCAGTATTGGCCGAACGTTAGTCTTAAACAAAGTTGCTTTTGCAGTTTGAGGACAGTCCCTCAAAGTTCGTTCCAAAAAGTTTAACATGCGGTGGGCTTTGGCTGTGATAAAGTCAGTGATCGAGCGCTCCATGACAGATTATGAGCAAATTAAACACCTAGGTACTTCACTACTTCCTCCTTCTTCAGTTTGAAACCGCCGATCAAGTACGGAAAAGATACTGACTGGCGTTTACTAGTGAACGTCATCCGGTAGCATTTAGGAATGCTAAGCTTCATTCCCCAAATCCGTTAAAATACCCTCACTTTCGGCAAGAAAAGTTGATTATTCGGAACTTAGGGTTTTTTTGGTTTTTTTCATTCTTGATTTATATTTAGTTACGTAAAGAGTGGAATAGATGTGTCAAAGGCCAACCGAAAAACGCACGAAAAGCAGAAATGGAAGAAGTAGTTCCACATCCTCTTTGTTTTTCAGGCAACAAACCACATGAGGGATTTTGGAGAAAAAAAAACCGAGAAACTTTTTTTTTTTTTTTTTTACGAGGTTATTGTTGTGGTTGTTTCGCATTAAATGTGCTCGCTTACAAAGAATAGAGAGAAACAATTTTTGCGTGTTCCGATTTGTGTCCGATTTTCGGATAATTTTTTCGCACATGTGTTTCGGCATGTAGATGTATAAAGCACTGGATACGAGGCATTAGAAAAATAGAAAGCTACTCATATTATTTAAAAATGAGAGGAAGGTACCTAGCCGGTCAAGCGACCACAAGCATCGATCATTACGGCCACCTTGCTCAATACCATTCACTTCGGCGGCAGACTAGGCCTCAATAAGGTCCCAGAGTACCATAAGTCCGCAGTCATACGGCTCGCGGACATCACTCGAAAGACACGGCGCAGACACGATGACGGAAGTATACCTGCGGGCACGCCTCAAGCGTTTCCGAAGCATGATTGATTCGAACATGCTTGAACATGCCTGCACGCTGTCTTATGTACATTGACAGTGTGAGCGTGGTCTAGGGATCGAAGAAAATGGATTCTTTCGAAAACTCTGCAGAGTATACAGCCATCGAAACAAATGGAGCTGCCACTTCGGTTTTGTGAGGGAGCCGCCTTGATTGTCTGAACGCATGACAGGTCGGTCGTTTCTATTCCGAGTGCTTGACTCGATTGGCCGAAGCAGATGGGAACTTCACAAAACTGAGTGTGCAATTCGATTCTAATCAGAGGAAGAGTGGAAGGTTTAGACAGTCATAACACGCTCGAGTGACAGTATAGCTGTACTCACTGACAGCCTAAGTGATGCAAAGCGTTGTGCATGGGCGTACCACACGGAGGGGGGGGGGGGGGGGGGGGGGAGGGGGCAAGGATGCGTTTGCCACCTAGTTCTCAGAGTGGGCGGGGGGGGGGGGGCAAAACACATGTTTTGAACCCCCCCCCCCC